TTGGCAAGAACTTTCATATCGCAATGATATCATACGTGTAACGAAAGGAAGTCATATTGAACACTTGTAAACAAAAACTCACACATTTTCCCGTTATATTCGTGTTTCAATTATAATTTTCTGTGTGTAATTTTTTAAAATATAAATTTTTGAAATTGGATGATTCTTTCCGGGGAACCCTGTATAATATCATATTAGGCTATTATCAATCATAATACAATATAATACCAAGTCGAGTCATAAATAACTCCAGTAAATAACTCTATTGTTCGCATCTATTCGCTACGAGCCACCGGGACAAACGAATTTTTGCTTCCACTAAATGGACAATTATTCTATTTTGGAATAAATAGGATAAAAAGAACAACAAACATAAGTAAACAAAAATACAAAATGAATAACCTAGACCTGACAAAAACGCCCAAGTGGAGAGGGTAATTTTTAGAGCTTTCGAAAGCTCGAAAAGAAAGCTTTCGAGAAAGATCGAGCATAGCTAGCAAGATCTATCGATCGTCGAAGCAGTTTTTGGGCCCGACGGGCTTACCAGGAAGCCGGAAGTGTTGTCCAGGAGGCACCGGAATCGGACGGTGAAGCTGCGCTCAAGAAGATGGCTGTGCTGCGGCGAAAGGGCGTCGTGAAGGGGCAGACTGGCGCTCTCGGTAGGCAGAAAAGAGTTCCACATCAGCTGCCGTTGCAATTCCTCTCGGTCCTCGCTATGCACCAGCTCGTAGACACTCTGGTGCACGATGTCGGACTGCAACAAGAGACATTCGTTTTCTTAGACGATAAGGCCGCTCGCGCACGTGACAGGGAATATGGCAAGAGAAAGGCGGGACAGTTCCGAAGGATCGGAAAATAGATTTTCCGAGGAAAACGCAATATTTCCGCAAGGTGTCCAACAAGCAGAGTGGCGCAGTGGAAGCGTGCTGGGCCCATAACCCAGAGGTCCGTGGATCGAAACCACGCTCTGCTAAGTGGTCATTAAAATTTTTTTTTCTTTTCTACTTTTATCTGCCCCCTCGAGCTGCTTTAGCCGAAGAATTACACAATTTGGCTCAAGTTTCATGAATATTTAATGTATGTAAATATTAATCGCAGCTTTAAAAATAGTATTTTTATTTCAGCGCGAGCCGTGGGGGTTGCGCGCGCGACGTTCACTAGCGTGTGACATAAATTACGTGATTTATAATTAATCGAATATTTATTTAGATCGTTCGGTGCGCGCAGTTTCCTCGTGGATAGTGTGTCGGTGCGTGTGTCGCGTTTAGAAAAAAAAATAAATAAATAAAAAATTTACTTCAACTAGCAGAGCATGGTTTCGATCCACGGACCTCTGGGTTATGGGCCCAGCACGCTTCCACTGCGCCACTCTGCTTCTATGGGAACCGTTTCCCTATCATTTTACACGTGATTAGATGGAAAATTGTTTTTTTTCTCGAACTGCCTAATTTTTTAAGCAGCATAATTATAGCACCGCGGCATTTTGTTTTATTGCAGATCGTTTTTGCATAATTCTCTGCACGTCTAGATTGCAAATTATTTATTGTTTAGTCGTTTAATGTTTCTAGTGCTATATTAAAATATTTCTTTATTGTAAAATGATAAATTATGCAAGTACAGTAAATTCTCACAAATTGTCCTTCAGCTTTTAAACGAGAATAGACAATTTGGGAAGAGGGGATACGATTGTTCGAGGCTCGTGGCTCTTCTCCCCATTTTCATTTACAAGCTGAAGAACGATTCGAGAGAGTTTACTGCATCGTTAATACTTTGACTGCCGCGCCAGTAACTTCAAAACTTGAACAAAATGAAAGTATCTTGTTTAATAAAATTGAAATTACTTTGTCAACATTCTTACGTTTCGCAGATCCTAATTAAATTAGGAAGATATAATGGATTAGTGTAAAACAATTTTCAAATATTATTTAATAAAATTGAAATTACTTTGTCAACATTCTTACGTTTCGCAGATCCTAATCAAATTAGGAAGATATAACGGATTAGCGTAAAACAATTTTCAAATCCGAGTAAATAATTCCGTCACCCACACATGAGTAACGCGATAGTTAAAGTGTTAATACATTACAACAAATTTCATATCGAAGCATATGTTTATGCGATATTAACAATTTAATGTCCGCTCACATAACACGTGTGCAATGCTTTAATAATTACATAGGCGATTGCTTTAATAATTATCACACGAAGGAAAAATATTAAATTTATTGTATTAAATATTTCGTTACTGTTCTTATTGTTTCTATTTTGTTTTATGTGTATATTCGCACATGTTGTATTATTTCATGAATTTACATAAATATTGCTGGCCTCTGGCGACGTTTGATCGCGTAGAAGTGTTAATAACAAATATTGAAAATATATAGCTGATCGAATAAAAACAACTACAAATAGTTTGCTTTTCGAGCAGGTGAACATTAATTCACTGCGACAGTATTTAAGCAGAAAGTTTCGAACATGCCAGGAATGTAGCGAAATTGTACGTATACGTTAATTGCCACAATTGGATAGTATTGATTTCTCCCACTGTGTTCCGGCAGTGGTCACATTTCAACTTAAAAAGCCTCTAGTCACAACAGCAGAGTGGCGCAGTGGAAGCGTGCTGGGCCCATAACCCAGAGGTCCGTGGATCGAAACCACGCTCTGCTATGATACTCGACCATCAATTTTTTTTTGCAAATTTTTCCGTCGCCTCGTCGTATATCATCTTACCGACACTCTGCAACATTTTACAATTTTTTTCTCTAAAGTATTCGCCTTAAAAATGACTAAAAACCTCTAACCATCGCGTCGCATGAAATTAGATATCTCGCTCGAATTCGCTCGAATTTGCAGAATACGAATTTTGCTCGATAAAAACATTCTTCACGCTGCTAATCGTGCACCGCAGATCAGCTAATCGCGTTCGCAGATAACAATATCGCCGCGAACAATCGCGTTCCGAAAATCGTCCGATCTTCGTCGCACAAAAAGCATCCCTCCGCTCGTTGGCCCATCGAGCCGGGCTTAAAATCAGCAATGCAAATTCCCCGCGGAATGAACGAAAATTTCTTTCGAGCACAGTATCGTTCATCTCGAGCCCCGAAGCCTGAAAGTCCTTATGACTCACACAGGGACCCGCGCGCACCCTCTAATCCGTCGATCTAAAAATCCTTCGAGCAAGAGGCGTACTTGGTCTCTCACCCCCTCGCAGCGAATCAAGGAACCCGCACCCCCGAACACCGGTGACAGTCCTCGAACAGAACCCCGGAATGGCGCGGGGTTGGGGTTGCGGGGCGGGAGAAGCGACGGGCCAGGGGCGTGGCGGGGGAGGCAGGGGGAAGGGACAGAGAGGTAGCCGTGGCATTATTTCAGGAAATATCTGATCGGTCGTGACGTCGCAACGGCGACATAGGCGCGCATACGGCACATGTAGCTACACGTGTCCGACGCACTTTATCGCGCATAATTAATCCGGCCTAGCAGCGACGGACGATGAGCCCGTGTGCACGAGAAACCCATAGTTTCCTCGTTCCTTGGTCCGAGCGAAACGAACAAAAGGACTAAACCGGTCTCTCTTTCTCTCTCTCGTTCCCTCCCGTTCCCTCTCGTTCCCTCCTCCCGTTCCCGTTCCACGGCGAACAAGGACGGAGAACGCGTACGAGCCTCGCGATCGGTCGATCGTTTCGCGAACGCAACCCCCGAGGAGCCAGGCTAGAAAATAGATCGAATTAACAGGTCTGCTCGTTCCGAGGCCACGCTCTGTGTCCGGCCTTCGACGCCACGAATAATGTAATAAATCAGCCGGTGGAAATGATACCGACCGCTGCTACGTGTACGCTGCCCCGTAGAAATAGGAAGTCCAGCAGATGCTGCGGACCGTGGCTCTTATCTGCTCGAGGGTTGCCGATTTTTCCGATTCAGGGTGGGAACCGAGGGAGCTCGTTACTTCAGGGCTTGGAACTTTCGACTGGTCGCTTCAGCGAGGCGGCGGAGCGTCGGGAAAAATTCGCCGATGTGATGCAGAATCACAGATGTAAATTACAGACTGTCGATCGCAGGCTCTAAGAGGGTGTAAAGAGAGGTCACTGATGAAGGATTCTGGATACCAGGTTTCGTAATTCGCAGCTACGGAGCAGCTTTAGTATTTGTAAATCATAGCGTGGTTCATGGGGAGCGGGAAAGATTGCCGATGAAATTGATTATTCTTTCGCGGGGGTAGCTATTCGAGGCTGAAGAGTACTCGAAGACATGGGCTGTACGTGAATCTGTAGGAATTTAACGCTTTCGCGCTTGGACGACCATTCCGGGGCGTTGTTGGAACTTATTATAGTTATTTCTCATTAATTCGCGAAAAGATGGCGCATAAAAGTGGTCAATTTGGGACAATTGCAAGAAATTTGCGATTTTTTTATAGTTACCGATTGTCAACGACTATGAAACGAGACCCAAGCCTCGAATAATCGTATCTCCTCTCTCCGAATTGTCCATATTTGGGCGTGATCCAAGCGCGAATTAGGGAGAAATTACTGTGGTTGCCTAACAGTCGCGTCCAGACCGCGGATCTGTATGCAAAATAAAAACGATCTTCATCGATCGCAACAAACGCGAGACAAATAGAAATTTCTTTCCCTTTTAAATAACTGTGCCAAGTTGAGAATAATACGCGGATGTTCTTAAATTCTTTTAATATTTTCACCGTTCGAAATTTCGCCTATCCACTTTTCTTCGCGGTCTAATGATAATATTATTGAATACAATGTTGCTGTGGATGATGAGATATAGACAAGCATCATTGCGTTTAAATAACAGCCGCAAGCTAATACGAAATATTAGGAGAGACGGAATTCTCTAGCTCATAACTTGTGTCTTATTTTCATTCGACTTATGTTTTCTACGATTAACATTGACAATTTTTATTTTGCATAAAGATCTGCTATCTGGTAATCACAGTTCAACGGGCCGAACGCTATAGTCACATTTTCTCTTCCCAAATTTTCCATTTTTGGGCGCTATTCGAGCGCGAATTAGAGAGAAATTGTCGTACATCCTTTTTCAAAAGAATTTTAAAGCACTGAAATTTGGTACATACAGTAAATTTTCGCTAATTGACGCTCAAGTTCCAATCAAAACTGGACAATTTTGGAAGCAGAGATATGAGCCTCGCGGCTTGTTTTTATACTTATCAATTGTCATCTACTATAAAAATCAAGCAGCAAGATTCGAATAATCGTACCTCTTCATCCCAAATTGTCCATTTTTGTGCGCACGAATTAGGGAAAAATTACCATACATCCTTTTTCAAAAGAATTTTAAAGAAATTTTTAGAAATTCTCTCTAATTAACGCTCGACTTCCAAACAAAACTGGACAATTTTGGAAGCAAAGATTCAATTTTAATCGAGCCTCGCGGCTCGTTTTTATAGTCACCAACTGTCAACAACTATAAAAATCGAGCAGCGAGGCTCCAACAATCGTACCTCCTCATCTCAAATTGTCCATTCCTGTTTCCAAGGGAAACATAACGTCAATTAGGGAGAATTTACCGTATTGCGACAATGATCTATTAAAATGCGGAACACTGCAGAAAGTTATTAAAAATACCATAAGAAAGGGTAACAGTAAAATTGGAAGGCAGGAACCGCAGGCTCCCAGGAAGAGGGAACAGCAGCGTTTTCGCGTCGGAGCGCGGAATTGTCGCGTCGGGACATTAACTGGCCGGGGCTCGGCTTAACCGGGAATAATATAATAAATCACG